GACTTTAAAGTTAGTCTAAGTTGAGGTTAGGTTGTTCATGGTATTCAAGATACAAACTGAATTTTCCTTTCTAGCAGTTTGAAAGAGACATTCGTGCCTAGCACCCTTTGTCGATCCAAACACACTGGTACCAAAAGTGTATTTTTTCCTCGCCCAGAAACTCATAGTGGCAAACAGCGGCCTGTCTAGATTACGCATCACTTTCTCGTGTCAGTGGGGATATCGACACGAACAAAGTCGATGCATTAGTTACTTATCTCCCAATGTCGAATGGGAGCCTCATCATTGCATGGCTCAAAATGGTTTTGCACCCATTATTCATTTCTAATACTATTCACCTGGTTTTGTGGCATTGATTTCGTCCATGGGCCCCGTTAGTTTACCATTTGGAAAAGGTTTTTTTAAATTAGCAATGGGGAACTGAAACCCATTGAGACGTATTTAAACCATAGCATGAATTTTAAGTGCATTTGTAAAGTTTAAAATTCGTTAATTAGATTTCTATGCTCAGAATCTAGTTATCGTCGTATCCTGTAAACTGGAATTCTCTTCATATTATGCACACATTCAGAAGGTTAGCAAATATCTCATTCAACACAAAATGGCGGTGGACAGGACCTTGTTCACTTAACAAAGTGTTGGGATACCCATAGTAGTCTTGGTTTGGAGGATTGTGGCAAAGAGAGAATGATCTCAACTCAACAATGGAAGAAACCAAAGAGGACCGTCTTTTAATTTGACAGTAAAACAACTTTGAGCTCATAAAGTCTCCTGATATGCTTCCACTTTTACCTCCATTTTGTCAGTACAAGACGGCGGAGTTCTTCTTCCCAGGTACGACACCCTTATTTGTCGATGACGATTGTCTTTGCTCTCGACCTGCTTCGAAAAAGCAATGCATACTAAAAATTACATCATCTCCCATCAACATATAGATGATAAAACCCTCTATTCAGCTGCGGACAACATGCACTTAAAGTATTTAAGTGAATTCGAAGCTTTCGATTTCGTGGATTGTGATAGACGGGTGAACTAGGATAAAACTAGTAGGACACGTCCCCTAATGTGACTTATGCTGGTCAACTTTAGAAACTCGCGCCTTCATTGAGAGAGCAAGTCACAATGCTAGACAGTTGTCTCTGCCTGAAGTTGGTTTTTTTATCTTCTAATAAATGTGGTTGATCATAGGCCAAGGCCACCGTAACTCCCTCAAATGACATGATCACCTACAGTAGTTAGGTGGCAATAAAAATTCAAGCAAAAACCTTCTTAACAAATGGTAGCGAGATTTAATGGGAAGAATCGGATTTTGGATAGGTCACAGCACAAAATTCCATCTTGAAGCGGGTACCTGTACGACTCGTGGTTCACTGATGAACGAGGGCGTTCCTGAGTTCCTAAAGGTTATTTGGGCTTAAACACACAGCAGTGGTAGTGTCAACTCGGAGGTTGAAAAACCATATTTCCAACCCTCAAAAAGACGACTCCATTTGACCAATTCACAACGCGTGTCTAACCCGTGTCGTTAAAATCTGAGCAGCAGCTGAAAAAAAAACTCAACTTTTAACCATGTGGTAGCCCTATGATCAACTATTACGGAAACCATAAGGAAACTTCGCATGCATTCAAACGAGACAAGCGTAGGTTGGTGCTGGCTACCGAGGCTAGGGATGGCCACTGCCCCTGGCGAAATCGACGTTGCGAAAGCAAGTGTACTCCTCCGCCCACCTTCCTTTCTACCCGACATCGTCAAGACGGATTGCCAAGGAGAGAGCGGTGCAATGCGCGGCAAGCTCGCAACGAGGCGATCTACGAGGGTGCGCAGTCGAGACACGCGTGTCGCATGAGTGCACTTTTAGCATTTCGCAAAAGTCCCAGTTTTTTTATGATATTGGCGTATCTTTCATCTAAACCATTACCCAATAAAATAATTGTCAATCCAATCCGTGAGTTAAAAAACGGGTTTGGCCAACCCCACAATAACTCAATCAGCACCCTACGATGAAGAATGGAAGAGATGATGGGGTGGGAGTGATGTAGTTGCAACGAATTCACGAGGTGTGGAGTGTAAAATCTTGGGATGAAATCAATTTATATGCCCCATGAAGGAGGGCATGGGGTCGGATGGCAGGGATGTTGCAGAGGTGCGTAGAAGAACAAAAGTAAATAGGCATGCAAAATCATTGCGATATTTGGAATAAAACTCTAGCAACGAGGGTCGCCAGCGGTCACCATTAGTCCAGGGATCTATGCAGCCAGTACCTACAAGGAGAGGAAAAGGTGTGAGAAGAAACGGTTTTGTGTACGCTTTTCCAAATACTGGCACAAAAGCCATTAAAGTGGATGGAATTTTTATTCACAAGCCTGTTAACCATGTTAAAGGACGTAAAAAAAGCGAGGAAAGAAGACAATGGATGCCTAATTTGCATAGCAAATTCAGTTAGATTAAGAAAATATCGACAGAGAGATATGCAAATGCCAACAAATAAATCAATTCAGTGACAGCGTTTGCTCAGGAGTGCTCGAACAATCAGAAAGGAGTGTTGTTACACCGCATGCTCTACGTGAGTAAACGCACGACTAGTGAATACAACCATTCATTGTACCCTACCATCACACCTCAATGCACGCGCTAATGATGATGTTGCGTAAACGCAAGCCTACTTGCATCACTTCCTTCATATTAAATGGAGTTATTTGGAGGCATTGAGGAGTTAAACATACGATTGATCCCACCCGGAGCATTCAAATTGAGCCTACGAAAGTCGGGAACGCGTGGTCATAGAAGGCAGACGGGAATTATCATGCAACATAGAGGCGTGGGTACACTAAAAAACCACACTAAAGTGCGGTTCAACAAATTGGATTCGAGGACTGTTTCAGCGCAAACATTCCCAAAAATGGCCATTAGGGACTTGCTGAGCAATTCAACTGACGCATCGTTTTTAGCTGACAATCACTATATTTCAACTTCTAAAATGGAATGACAAGGTGAAAAAAAAAACGAATAGTCCGAACAGTCGTCAGCAGACTGGGAAGCAGCTCATCCCTTATATGCGTAAGACTATACAAAAGTGATTTGTGTGTCAAGGTGGCATGAAGCTGTGACAATTTGCAGCAAGCCCGTATCTGATACCTATCTAGTGATAACTAACGTTCCGTTTCCTCGTGCTCATGAATGAGGCAACCTGTAAGATTGGTGCAGGAATGGGCGAGTGAGATAACGGGCTTAAAATGGAACTGATGCACCTACCACTCGGTGAATCCGTTGTCACATTTTAGTTCCCGTAGACTCACTAAGACAGAGCCCAGGTTGCGTATGTGGGTGTTGCGTTGCAGAGGACCAACATGGTTCTTCACATCCACCCAGAGCTTGCAGGTCTCCATGACCTCCGACTTCACTGAGAACTCAAAGCTGGGAAGGGCAGAAACAGACACAGTACAAAGAAGTGAGATATCCAGGCGTAGACAAACATTTGGAACCCTGAACTTTTTGCATAGCAGCCGAGGCTATAAAGACTTTTGCCAATTCAGCACAGATGGTGACGGCCATAAGAACCTTTAGGAAGCAGTATTACGTTGTGTAAAGAAACGCTAAACTAATACCCAAATTAGCCTTTTTTACACTATACGGGAGTTCATTAATGCATGGAATCGAGTGAACATTTTACGTAAAAGTAATGTGCTTAACAATAGGGCATAAATAGGTTGGAAATGCTACCTCTGCTCGAAAATTGGATTTAGATCGTTCTTCACGGCTCTGGTTTTTTTCGATTCGCCAACAGTGTGTCCGGAGCTATCGATGACGCTCAACTTCACGTAAGGATCTGACAAGCCATCCTTGTCCACACCCAAGATATTCCTAAAATTGGAGCATGCTCATTTACACGACTCAACATGACTGGCAAGGGTAGCAGCCCGCCGTCCAAACTGCCTACTTCCACTAGGAGTAAGGGCAACGTATAATCTTTGCTACATTCATCACTCAAGTGAATAGACTGCGTATTAACGAAATCGAGTGTTCGAGATGACTACAACACAAGAATTGCCGAAATGACATTTAGTAGATATAATGAGATTACATTCCCAAATGAGTGCTTCGTGAGGTGAAGGGGACGAGTCGATGAGTAGGTGGTTGGTGGGTGTAATTAGAGAAAATCGCACGTACTCGGCGCGGTCCACAGTAACTTCGAGAATCTCCATATCCGCATCATAGCGCATCGTTAGCCTTACCCGACCAGCCGGGTTGGGCGGAGCCACCAAAACGTGATCTTCCTCCCCGCTGCTCTAAATTGCAAACTAGCTTATTTATTACGATCCATAGAAGTGATTACGCAAACATCAGCGCAGCCATAGCGATGGCAATAAGATAACCAACCGCCGTCCTATGGTTGCGAAACGAAACAGTTTGCGGAATGATTTCGCGGCGCAGTAAATGTCTCAGAAGGTTCACATTTCTACTTATGTGAGAAATTGAAAGTTGTAAAAGCATTGAAAGTGGAAGGTAGTAGCTAGATGAATAAGTGTGCTAACACATCGAAGAAAGTTATGTAAAGTTGACGTTCAGACATTTTAGCCGAGTTGTCATTTCACAGGTAAGATAAAATAAAATAATCTCTCTCATCAAAACTTCGATAAAATGATAATATTGCAAACAGGTAAGGAACAGAAGCA